CACAGGATAGAGCAGGGTTTAGGGCTGTTGTACATAGGGTCGCTATGAGTCGCAAGTGACTAGACGGCACATAACAACAACAACAATTTGCATTAACTTTTGTACAAATCTAGAGGGTTTGTATTTATTTATTTTTTACAAATCTGGATACTTTCATCTATTAGCTTTTTCTTTAATCTTCCTGTTTCTCTTCCCTATTTGCCTCCATCTCCCTTGCTCCATTAAGTAGGTAGTCATTAATATGTAAGGCAAAAAAGGAAGTTTCTGCTTCAGATAGACCTGGAAGGACTCGTAGAGTCCTTTCTGATGGTAAGCCTGCCTTCTAATCCAAATTTATGTAAACTGTAAAAGTTTCAGGTTTGAAGATTGGTTCTTTCACATGTGCAGAACATTTTAATACAAATTATTAGCTACAGGAAATCCCTTGTTTTCCTGATCTCTTGTTCACCGAGCTAAATTATTAGCAAATATAATTCCCACTTTTCTTCTTAAAAATTATTATCCTGAGGTGCAATGATTAAGAGCTTACCTACAAAACCAAAGTTTGTTGCCTCCTGCGGTGCACCAGCTGCTCTTATGGAGACAAGAATTGTTAGCGCCTATAAATATTTAATCCTAAGGGTCAGTAGGAGTTGGACTCAACTCAACAGCACCTAACAGTAACAACCGCAAGCCCTGTGGGTCAGCTCTTCTCTTCATAGGGTTGCTATGAATCAGAATTAGTTTGACATCTCTTAACAACAATCTGAACTATGGTATTGGAAATTCTATCTTTTGAGAAAATCAATCTTCAAAAATTCTCTTAATACAGGAGTCTGTATTTGGAAGGAATGTTGTTGTTGTTGTGTACCATCTAATTGGAATCGACCTATAACACATAAAAATATCTGCTAAATTAGCTTGATTAATTGGTTTACCATCTTAACTCCAGTGGAGTTCTGAGAGCCTGGTTATTCAGCAGTGTCTTCTTCATTCACTGTGTGTTTTGATAGGGAAGAATTGAGACTGAAGACCAGACTCAGAGACAGTGATTTTAGGGAGGTGTGACATCCATAATGAGGTAGATCAGCTCTAAAAAGGAGTAGAGAAGTGAAGATAAGGAAGTTAAGAAATTAGAATTTAGCTTCCTATAGTCGTAGTCGTTTTATTTGGTCTTTTGATGAGGTCCGAATCTTACTAGGTATCAATAACCCATCTTACTTATTGCCATCAAATCAGAATCCACTCATAGTTGACCTTCCTTTGAGTTTTTAAGGACATAAATTATGTGAGAGTAAATTGCTTATTTTCTTCCGTGGAACTACTGGTTAGTTCGAACTACCAGAGAAGGGTGGTCTTCAGGTTAGCAGCACAACTCTCTATGGATTACACCACCAGAGGTCTTATTTAGTATACAAACAATAATTTTTAAAACTCCAAATTGTCAAGAATGCACACTGCAGTTTAAAGGAGTTGAATTACATAGTGTAATATGAATATATCTCCATTGTGAATAAAAAAATCATGTGCTTATTCTTCATATTACTCTAATTATTATGATTAAAGTTTATATTTGAGACCTTTAGTGTATTTTTATGTATTTTACACTTACTGTTTATATTGATTCTTTTAGGCAATAATCACATGAAAGAAGAAAATTATGGGGCTGCAGTGGACTGCTATTCACAAGCAATAGAATTGGATCCAAATAATGCGGTTTATTATTGCAACAGGTAAACTGGCACTGTGGTGGCAAGTTTATTGTTCTTAGCATTTGGATTAATAACTCAGGAGGACACCTATAACACTTATTTACTTATAAAATTCTAAAATTTCAGTGAAGTATAAAGAAGAGGAAAAATAAATTTAGAAACTTATTTAGAAGTAACCATTATCAAACTATTGGCATATTTGTTCTATGAAAGTGAAATTGATTTTAGACTTAGCTTTATTCATTAAGTGTGTCATGAGCATTTCATTGTTTTATTGAAATACTTTATAAATGTTATTTAAATGGATACAAATTATTTTATTTCCATTTATTTTTAAAATTCTCATAGTTTACCATTTTATCAAGCAAATATGAATATGCAATGTTATGAACAACTAAATAGCCATATTTAAAGTTACTTAACTGTTGTGGTTTCCATTCTGTCCCCCTTCAATATTATAAAGCTGTAATGAACAGACTTTTGGAAGGAGGAGTAGCATCTACTTCCTAAACAACATACCTCTGGAAGCTCTATGAACTTTGATAAATGACGATAGTTATAGAAAGCCTTCTGGCCTTTTGTTCATAGGGTGGCTTATGAGTCATGCTCAATTTGACAGCAATCAACAACAATGAACAGACTATCAAGTTTTTTCCCCCTGGAATTTGCATTTTCTAGGCTTTTGTTATACCCTTGAAAATGTTTTGGTAGGACTAATATTATATTGTTATGTGCCATTGAGGTGGAACCAACTCATAGCCGAATCCTCCAGCAGATTTTCAGAGACAGTAAATTGCGTGAGAGGAGACTCCCCATCTGTCGCCTATAGACTGGCTGGTTGATTCAAAACACATGCCTTTGGGTTGACAATGTAGTTCCTTTAAGCTAGGCCACAGATTGCCAACTTTTTCTAATTTCATTGAAGGTATATGAAAAATTAATTTTCCTCCCAGGAATAGGTGAGTGATATCTAAGTTGGGTTTAGAAGAGTCTGTGACACTAGGGATGCCATTGCTGATGCCAGATGGATCTTGGCTGAAAGCAGAGAATACAAAAAGAATGTTTATTAGTATTTTATTGATTATGCAAAGTTATTTGACAATAGATCACAGCAAATTGTAGTTAACAATGAGAAGAAAGGGAATCCAGGAACACTTGATTGTGCTCATGTGAAACTTATATGTAGATTGAGAAGATGTTGTCTGAATGAGAGCAAAGGAATACAGCCTGGTTCAAAATGAAGGAAGAGTGTGCGTAACAGTTCAAGAGGCTGGACTTTATTAAGAAGAATAGGACATTAGAATTGGAAAAAGACTCTTCAACAACTTCCTGTATATAGATAACACAGCCTTGCTCACCAAAACTGAGGAAGACCTGCAGTCTTCAATATGGATTGCATCTCAACATCAAGAAAACAAAGATCTTCATCACTGGGCCAATACGCAACATCATGATAGAATGGAGAAAAGATTGAAGTTAATGATATCATCATGCTCGGATCCATAATCAACACTTTTGACACTAGCAGTCAGGAATTCAAAAGACGATTTGCTTTGAGAAAATCTGCTATTAGGAATCTTTCTCCACAGTACCAAAGAGCAATGATGTCAGTCTAGAGGCTTAGGTGTACCTGATCCAGGCCATGGCTACTCAGTTGCTTTCTATTGATCTGAGAGCTGGACAATGAATAAGGATGACAGAAGAATTTATGTCTTTGAGTTTTTATGCTGGAGAATACTGAATATACCACGGACTTCCAAGGGAACAAACAAATTTGTCCTGGAGAGGGTGAAACTAGGTTGCTCTTTGGAGGCATCTCCATTTCAGGTACTTTGAGATTTGGTCATATTACTAGGAGAGACCAGTCCTTGCAGAAGGATATCATGCTGGGAAGGGTGGAGGGAAGGAAGGAAGGAAGGAAGACCCTATATGAGCTGGATTGACACAGTGTTTATGGCAGTGGGGTCAGGTTTTGTCAGAGGATGAGGTTGACTCAGGATAGGGCAAAGTTCACATCACTTGTTCTTAGGGTTGCTGTGGGTCATAGTTGACTTAAAGGCACACAACAACAATAACAATTATACCTTTAAGTATTTAAAGTATTGTTGTTGTTATGTACCATTGAGTCACTTGCTGCTCATAGGGACACAGTGTACAACAGTCCTGAATTCTGAGCCAACTTCATCACCTCCAGCACACCCACTCCCATTACCCTAGTCACTGAGTCAATCCATCTCATTTAGGGTCTTCCTCTCTTGTGCTGTCCCTTACCCTCCCAAGCATACTGTTCCTTTCCAAGGACTGATCCCTCCTTGCAGCATGTGCAAATTATGTCAGACGGAGCTTCAGAATCCTTGCCTCCAAGGAGCAGCCTGGCTTCTCTCTCTCCTAGATGAACCTGTTTGTTCTCCTAGCAGACCATGGTATATTCAGTATTTTTCTCCAGCACCACAACTCAAAGGCATCAATTCTCCTTTTAACAACCTGAGTCATTGTCCAACTTTCTGATGCGTAGCAAGTAATTGAGAAGACCATAGCCTGGATCAGTCTTCAGAATGATACCGTTAGTCTTCAGTACTCTGGAGACGTCCGACAGCAGATTTTCCCCAGTGCAATTAGTCTTCTGATTTCCCGGCTGCTGGTACCAAAAGTGTTGATTGTGGAGCTAAGCAAACTGAAGCTGTTAACAATCTCAGTCTTTTCACCGTCTATCATAGTGCTTCCAACTGGCCCAGTGGTGACAATCTTTGTAAAAATGTTGTTGTTGTTGTTGTTATGTGCCGTCGAGTCGCCTGCGACTCATAGCGACTCTATGTACAACAGCCCTAAACTCCGCTCTGTCCTGTGCCAATCGCACCGTCTCTGACACTCCCATCCCAATTATCCCAGTCACTGAATCAATCCACCTCATAGAGGGCCTTCCTCTCCTGCACTGTCCCTCCACCCTCCCAAGCATGATGTCCCTCTCCAAGGACTGGTCTCTCCTCACAACATGTCCAAAGTATGTTAGACGGAGCCTCAGAATCCTTGCCTCCAAGGAGCCACCCGGTTTAACCCTTTCCAGGACAAGTCTGTTTGTTTTCCTAGCAGTCCATGGTATTCTCAATACTCTTCTCCAGCACCACAGCTCAAAGGCATCAATTCTCCTTCTATCCTCCTTGGTCATTGTCCAACTCTCTGATGCATAACAAGTGATTGGGAAGACCAAAGCCTGTATCAGACGCACCTTAGTCTCCAGAGAGACACCACTGCTCTTCAGCACTTTGGAGAGGTCCCTAACAGCAGACTTTCCCATGGCAATGTGCCTTTTAATTTCCTGGCTGCTGGTGCCAAGACTGTTGACTATGGAGCCAAGCAAACTAAAGCTGTGTACAATCTCAATCTCTTCACCATCCATCCTGATGCTGCCACTTGGTCCAGTGGTGAGAATCTTATTTTAATTCCAGTTGTTCTAATTTGCATTTATTAGAGAACTTGGACACTTTTCACATGTCGGCAATTTGTAGCCCATCTTTTTCTAATTATGTCTAATCTTAGGGGTTTTGGCCTCAGACACTATTTCTTTTCATGCAGAGCTCTTTATAACAGTGAGGCTAATACCTATAGAACATATGGCCACAGACCATAATGGGAGTGGTGTGTCAGAGACGGTGAGGTTGGCACAGGATAGAGCAGGGTTTAGGCCTCTTGTACATGGGTTCGCTATGAGTCACAAGCGACTCAACAGTACATAATGACAACAAAAATACTTTTGGGAAACTGCCAGAAATCCAAGCCAGATGAAAAGAGGATATGGAATAAGGGATACCATTGCTGCTGTCAAATGGATTTGGCTGAAAGCAGAGAACACCAGAAAGGTGTTTCCATATATTTTCTTAACTATGCAAATTCATTTGACTCTGTCAGTCAGAAAAATTATGGTTAATTAGCATAATGAAGAATGGGAATCCTAGAACATGTTATGATACTTGCATGGATCTCATACATAGATGAAGGGGTGGTCATATAAACAAAACAAGGAGATATTGCTCAGTTTTGTTGTTTTGTTTTTGTCTTGTCTTTTTTCTCACAAAGAAACATCATTGAGTCTGTTTATATAAAAGCAAATTAAGTTTATTGAAGGGCCCTTTCTGACAACGTACCTGAAGTATGTGAGATGAAGTTTTACCCTCGTTGTCTCCACCATCCAAGGGCTAACGCAAGCTTAATGATACTGAATCTTTTGATTCATACACACAGTATGTTTCTACATTTATTTAGATCTTTTGTCAAGTGTTTATGGTTTTCCTTGTGGAATTCTTAGCATGCTACTTATTCAATTCCAAGTATTTTAAGATGTAGATTTATTTTTACATCATTGAATGGAGAATTATTTTTATTAAATTTCATTTTTCCAATTATTTGCTACTGTTGTTAGTTGCCAGTGAGTCACTTCTAATTCATGGAGAGACCCTTCGTGTATGGAGAAGTACTTTGTAGTGTTTTAAAAGCTGTGATCTTACAAAAGTTCTCATCCTTGTCTTCTGAGGCAGCTCTCTGTGAGTTTGAACTGCCAGCCTTTCAGCAGATAGTCAGATGCTTAACCACTACCCAGGAACTCCTTTTTGTTGCAATATTTTCTGTTAACTTCATATCCAAGAATCACGCCAAATTCATTGTTAGTTCTAGAAGTTGTTTTACAGAATCTTTAATATTTTCTATTTAAAGATCCTATTATCTATCCAAAGACATTTGTATTTTTTCCTTTTCAATCTCTATTATCATTAGGTGCTGTCTAGTGAGCATCAACTGATGATGAGTGTGTAAAACAGAGTGAAACCTGTGCGTAAGCCTGTCATTAAAGTCACTGTGTCATTTCATTTCACTGAGTGTCCTTTTTTTCTCTCTCAACTTTTCTGTCCCTATTGGATTGGGAAAGTCTGCAGTCAGGGACCTCTCCAAATTACTGAGGAGCAATGATATTGATTTGCAGAATAAGAAGCTCCCTTTTCAGGCCATGGGCTTTTCTATCATTTGCTATG